GCTTTGGGGAATAGCCTATAATGAGACACTGGAGAAAGAGGTGCAGGTGAGTGACGGTCTTGGATGGACAGTTCTCAGCCACATCAGAGAGGCAACAGACCCCAGGCTGTGGGGCCAGATCTGAATTCCAGACCAGACTGTCATTTACTAGAGATGTGATATTGAACAAGTGCCTTTACCTCTTACATCTCCCATTTCTTCCTTGGAACTTTCACAGAACTAACCTCTGTACCTAGCATCCAGGATAAATGGTAACCACTCCAAAAAAGCATTATCATTATCAGTGTTGTCAGTCGAGGAGTTAGGCCTTTGGGGCTGTAACTAAAGGTTCAGAGTGGCAGCCTGGAGCTGCAGAGAGAACGCTGGACTAGGGGTCAGCTTAAGTCTCTGCCCTGTCCGGGCCTCAGTTTCACCGCTGCGTCGGGCCCCTCGCGCAGGAGCCAGGGCCCCACCCCACGCCCCGCCTGTGCACAGCCATCTTCCTGCAGTCGGTCCCGTCCTCTCACCTCCTTCCCGCTGCAGCTCCGAGTCCCAGCGCGTGCGGAACTGGAACGTGGCGGCCACGTCCCCAGAAGGCAGCGGGGTGATGACGAGCTCCTCCCGCAGGCTGTCACGCGGGGTCTCTGCATGGCCCCCGCCGCCCAGCCCCGAGAGCAGCAGGACGAGCAGGACGAGTACACCGCGCCGCACGGCCGCCGCCATGCCTGCGGCTGCTCCGGCTCCCCAGCGGCGCCCGCCCCCACGAAAAGCCGACCTCCAATGGGAAGAGCGCACGAGGAATGACTTCCGGTGCCATCCCGGAAACCGGGGTGCGGGCGGCAGGCGGCAGGAGCAGGTCTTATAGGGCTGGAGGGTCTCAGGGAGCACGAAAGGGCAACGGGGGCACCAAGGGCGGTAGGCACATGCGGTGACTGGGGACCGGATTGAGGAACCCCACCACCACCAAGTTGGGGTATTCCCATCCACGAGAAAGGCTTAATAACACCGAGCGGCCACTGCCGTCGTGCCAATGAGATGTTGAGGACAGACTGTAAAAGGTTGATTCCTTATGCCAGGTCGCACCGCAGGGTTTGTTCCTCCCTCAGCATCTACTTTTGCTCGGTCCTAAGTCTAGCCAGCAGCCGTGGTGCAGAGCTTTGCTACAAAGCCCCCAAGATAACTGGCCCTTTTACTATGAAAGATTTCAAACCTATCATTAAGTTGAAAGAATGAATACCTGTTATAATGAACACCTTATTCCCCATCTCACAGGTTCCACCATTTACATGTTACTCTACTTGCTATAGCTCACATGGGTCTATAAATCCCTCAGTTTCATCTTATATTCTGACATATTTCAAAATAAACTACAGTCGTAACTACAGTTCCCCCTAAATATATTTCAGATGGCATATCATTAACTAGAGTTCAATGTTTGTTTACGTTTTTCTTTTGGTGTAAAATGTACATAAAATGGAGTGCACCTCAGTAGTCTGACAAAAGTATACACCCGTGGGACCCAAACTCTACCAAGATTCCTAAAATCCCAGGAAGTTGGCTAATGCCCCTTGCCAGTCAATCCTTGCCCACTCCCACCTTCCAGAGACAACCACTGTTCTGATTTTCTCCACAAAATGTTTGATCTGTTCTAGACCTTTATATAAATGAGATCATCATATAGTTTGTATACTTTTTGTGTAAGGTTTCTTTCACCAAAGAATGTTTTTGAGAATCATCCATGTTCCTGTATTAGCAGTTTTGTATGAATATACCATAACTTATCCATTCTTCTGTTGGTGGACACCTGAGCTCTTTCAAGTTTTTAGTTATTATGAACTAGGCTGTAATACAAGTTACTTTCTAGACATATGTTTATCATTTCTCTTGGGTAAATATTTAGGAATGGTCAAAGAGTAGATGTATTAAATTTTATAAGAAATTGCCAGACTTTTCTCCAAAATGTACCATTTTATACTTGCATCAGCAATGTATGAGAGTTCCTCCACATCCTGGTCAACATTTGTTTCTCATATTTTGGCCTTTTTAGCTTCAACCATGTGGGTGTGTATGTAGTGAGACATTGTGGTTTTAATTTGCATTTGCCTGATACCTAATGATGTTGAGTATCTTTTCATATGCTTATTGGCCGTTACTTTTATGAAGAGTCTGCTAAAATCTTTTTGCACCCACCCCACCCCTGCTTTTTTTACTGGTTTGTTTGCCTTTTTATTTTGAGTTGTAGGAGTTCTGATTTAAATTCCTATGGTTTTCTAGGTGCCCTATGGTGAACACATTCATGAAGGATTTTGCACAGTCTCTTGGTAAAACTCATACCATACATCTACAAAGAACCAAATTCGGTATCAAGCAGGTCTGCCAAGATAAATCCCAATGAACCAAGAAGTTAAGTGTCAAAACGATGTCTTTATCTCATTATGTTCTCATTCTACTTATATCCAGTGTTCTTGTCCCACTGGACAAGAGTTTAGATGCCAGACAGAATGGGTTCAAATCCCCACACCAGCATTTAATCCAGATGAACATGAATAACCTGAGTGTTACTTTTCCTCCTCTGTAAAATGGATAAAATTACTTTCAGGGTTGTTGTGAGGACTAGAAATTGGATCTGGAATAGTAGTAAGTGGTTAATAACATTTACTATCACTTATTCAAACAACTCTTCAAGGTGGGTACTATTATCTCCATATTACAGATGAGAAAACTAAGGTACAGAAACTGAGCTAATTGCCCAAGATCACAGTAAGTGATGGAACCAGGACTAGAATCTATACTATCAACCTCAAATATTTAAAAAAGAAAGTAGCTCCCATCATTATGATTACTGTGTACTTTTATGCTGTTTCCTTTTGAAGTTGCCTGTCTCTACCACTCAAGAGCTAGCCACCTCCAGAGACTTACCTTCTCCCCTCTTGTGTGTGACAGTCCTCTGTGAACTTAGCTACAGCTTACATTGTATTTCCATTATTTGTGGCCATGTCTGCTCCTGAAAGAGCTCTCAGTCACCTTAGTATCTTTGTTGCCTAAGCAAGGGGGCTAGCACATAGTAGGTGCTCCGTAATGTTTGAATGAACAAACAAGACAACATCATAGCGCCATTCCCTGCTACCCCCACATGGCCACACTGTTCACAGTGTCAAGCACTGTGCCCTCCTGGGAAGGCTTCAGAATGAGCCATCCAGGGAATCTTCCTCTGGAATTGTGGTTCCCTCCTGTTTCCTCCACAGCATAGGATTCTGCAGGATGAGACTGTCTTCTTCCCTCCTCCCCAGAGTTTATGACAAGTCTGTGCAACAGACAGAAGCAGCTACACTGTGGCTTTGAGACTGAAAGCTGGGCTGCCTGCCTTGGAGTTGGCTCCAGATCACAGGGCACTGCTCCCAACTCCAAGGGCACTGCGTGGCCTCAAACAACGATCAGCTGGAGATGTTGGTGCTGGAAGGCCAGCCAAGCCTCTGTGGTTTGGCAGAAGAGGTCACTGTCTAACCAGGAAGTGGTGCTGGGGGCTCAGTTGACCCTACATTGTTCTGGGCAGGGCTAGGACTCACAGCAGCTGAACTGAAGGCTCCCCATAGGTTCACAAACAATTCTGCCTCTGCAGAGGGTTATATTTCCCTCTCCTCAGGCAAGCTCCTTGCTCCAATCCCCATAGATCTCAACATCGCGTGCCTGGGGTACTAAGAGATTTGTTGACATGTTGACAGCAGCCAAGCTAGTCTATCTCCTCATCATTCACCTTGGAGGAAAGTGGGGTGATACTGGGAGCTGAGAAGTCCTACAGAGCAGAGCTGTGGACTTCACAGGTTGCAGCCCAGAAGGCTCAGGAGGTGAGCCTCGCCGCTCCAAGGGAAGGGAGAAGGCACAAGAGGACAAAGCCCATGTCTTCTGTGTGCAGCGAAGTCATAAACAACCCAGAAATACTGCAAGTATTATGTGGACGTGGCCCTGGCCCAGCTTAGTGGATGATCTCAACTTGGACACAGAGGCTTTTAGACAAAAGGAGCACAAAACTCCCTCAAGTTTCTCACTAGCACTTGGAAAAGCATCAAAAACTGTCCGTTTATGATGGCCTCCTGCAGGGTGAAAGCAGGATGGCACTGTGGGAATGCTGCAGGCCTGTCACTCAGCCCGGGGGCACAAAGAGCTTTGGGATTTAGACTGAAGGTCATTGATCCCATGGGTGGTATTTGATGCATAAAAGGCAGGATGATTTGGTTTTTCTAATGTGAGAAACTACTTGACATTCCTCAGAGCTGGTCCTATACCCGCTCTCCCCGGGTAAGCTCATTCACAGCCATGGCTTCATTTACCACCTAAACAATGGTAACTTGTCTATTTTTCCAGCCCAATTCTCTCATTTAAAGCCCACACTCATGGATCCAAATGTTGGGACACGTCTACCCAACATGTTCCCTTGATGTCTCCAAAGCACCTCAAACTCAACACATTCAAACCCAGATTTATGGCCTTCTTCCCAAACCTCATTCTGAAACCCCCCAGTCTGGGTGAGGAACCCTCTGAGTCATCCTGTTGCACAAGGCAGAAACAGTGGTGGCACCCTTGGCCCCTTCCTCTCACACCCACCTATCAAACCTTGGAATTTGCCTCCTAAATTCCTCATTACTCCCACTTTTCTACATTCCCACCTCCACTCTTGCCCACTACCACTCCTCTCATGCTCAAGTTGTCTGCTGTCTATGCTCCTGCTCTGGTCCCCACTAATCAGTCCACAAGGAACCCTTCCAGCCATTCTTCCCCTGGTTTACTCCTTCTCATCCTTCCCATCTCAAGGCAGATGTCACTCCCTCAAGAGAAATGCCTCGTGAAATCTCTGCACAGGCTCTTAACTCATTCCTAGCACTAGTCATAGTTGCAATTTTACACTTGGGCCACCACTAGACTCTAAACTCTAAGAGCAGGATGTGTCTTTTTCTTTTTTGCCACTACTACATTTCCAAGGCCATGCTCAGGGTCTCAACCTTGCTCAGCACTGACATTTAATATTCATCGAATGACTGTCATTTATTTGTTCATAGCCTCCTTCAACCCAGTTAAGCTCATCACCACCAGTATCTGGGCCGCTGTTCTCTCTTGCATGGATTATTGTGTCATGTCATGTCTGTCTTGAGTCTGTCCTCCTCCAGTATAGTCTCTATACTGCTGTCAGAATTATTTTAACAAGCAAATGCAACTGTTTGTAATCCTTCATTACTACTAATAAAGTTCAAATTCATTAATGTGATCTCTAACATGTAAATTGCTAGTTACTTATTCAACAACTACTGTCCTCTTATTCCTTAGAAACAGAACCCTGATGTTACCAAGGCAGCAGCGTGCCCTACGGAAGGACCACCCCAGCCTCCCCAGTAGCCAGGGTGCTGCTCTCAATTTAAAAGATAGTACAGAAATCAGATGCATTGGTAAGTCAGTGACTTGAAAGGGATATTGTTGTTCCAAAGGCCAGAATTGCCTTTCTTCTAGATAATGCGGGGTCCCTGTATCTATAAAACACCTGTAAAGGAAAAATTTCTCATGTTAGCAGGTTCTGGCCAATGAGATGAAAGTGGACGCTCTTTGTTAGAACTTCCAAATATGCTTCTTGAAGTGGGAAGAGACAGCTGGCTGTGCTTCGCCCACCCACTTTCTCCTCCTGCTGTCTCCAGGGACGTGACGACTGGGGCTTCAGCAGCCATCTTAGACGTGAGATTATCCATGAGGATTTGAGCCATGTGCTTGGGATGGCTCCGCAAAAAGAGCCGAAAAGGACCCTGTGCCCAACAACCAGGGAGTGGCCAGATAGCCCTGTACTTGGGAGTTCTTTCATATGACAAAATAAATTTGTCTCTTAAGTCACTGATATTTTACTAGTAGTCAAATTGAAACTTGATGCATGGTTCAAAGCACTTCCTGACTTGACCTTTGCCACTCTTACCTCTCCCTTCATCTCCTCCTCAAATTCAACAATTCAGCCAAGCTGAATGTTTCTCAGGGGCATTTCTCTCCATTCAAAATCTTCTGAGGCTGCTCTTTGGCCTGGATTACAGCCCTCACTGGGGGTAATTCCTACTCATCCTTTGGAGCTCAGCTTAAAAATCAGCTCTTCAATGACTACAGAAACTAGGTGACATACCCGTTTTCAGATGCCAAAGTAGTTCTGCATCATGCTACTTACTATCCCTGTGAATCACGATATTTACTTGGTTTTCTACTTCAGAGACAGTAAGTTTCACGAAGGCAGGGATGCAGCCTGTCTTGTTCAAAACTGTTTTTCCAAATGCCCACCACAAGTATTCAATAAATATTTCTTCAGTAAACGGAGTTCACGCGTGATGGGGACATGGTGTTGGTTAGAGAATGAAAGAAATATAGGGGGTTTGATATCTTTAAATGTGAAAGATGAAGTGGAATGGTTGGTATATTATTATTTATTATTTCTACCACGCCCTTTTCCAAAAAAAGGATGCAAGGAAGCAAGATGGCTGGAGCACCATCGCACTGGGAGTGCTAAGGAGTTCACATCCACTCACAGACACTGCTTTAGGAGACTCTATCAGAAGGCTGCAGGATGGTCTGGGGGAGGGAGGAGCGCTAAGAAAAGCAGTGGCATCTTGTCCTGCCTCATCTTCCATCTCCTCACTTGTATGCCCTACCTTGGGAGTAAGCCAAAAACTGGTGGGAGTGTGGCAGCAAGGAAAGGTTAGCAGTTAAGCAGAAGGGGGTTAATTCCCAGAGAAGTACAACATCCAACCATCCTGTCCTGCCTCTGGCGCCTACTGCGAGGAGTCTGCTCTTCTCCAAAAGGTCTGGTTGGGCCTACGGTCTCACGTGGGGAACAGACAGCTCAGTCAGTCTGTGGGTAGGGGCCCACTGCTAGCTACAGGCTCCCGGCTCTGCCTCTCCGTCAGCCCCATCCCCCTCCTCATCAGACTGTGCCAAGGGCGTGTCTGCTCCGCCGTCGCTGGGATTTGGACTGTGTGGGTTGGTGGAGGGGTCAGAAGATGAGGAGGAGGTGCGGGATGCAGTCCTGTCTGGCGTGGGCAGTGGCAAGCCCAGCTCCTCTGGATGGTCGTCCACTCCTGCCCAGAGAGAAGAGCTGGTCAGGGCACAAACAGGGCTTTAGTGGACTGTTAGAGACCATCTGGCCAGGACAGACTGAAGCCCAGAGAGGGGCAGGGACATGACCAAAATCACTTAGCTGGCCCAGTAAAGAGTCAGATCTCCTGATGCCCAGTTCCTTGCACTTCCCACACTGTGTGCACCCTAGAGTCAGTTCAACCAATTCAAGAGTTCAGGTTCTATCTATGTCACTTGCATAGTTACAGCTTTGGCCAAGTCACTTTTCCGCTCAAGGATGCTGTTCCTCCTCTGTGAAAAAGGGATACATTCCTACATTCCAGAAGGTTTGTGAGGATGAAGTCTAAGAATTCTTATAAAATGTCTGGCACATGGTAGAGGCCATCAATATATACAGCAGTTTTAAATAAAAGAATATCTACCATAAGTTAAGCGTATGGGCTTTGGGGTCAGACAGCCATGGTTTGAACCCAGCTTTTCCATTTTCTGGCTGTGTGACAACTTCTGAGTCTAATTCCCTTCTTCATAAAATGAGTATAATACCAGCTGCCCTAACAGGATGCTGTAAGGACTGAGATAATAGATGTAGTTCAGCACAGTATTATAAGCCAAATAAAGTGTTCAATAAAAATTAATATTAAAAGGACTAAAACGGCTTAAACTAATACAAAAATTACCTTTTTATGTTGTTTTAATTATATTAATTACATTAACTGCACACATGTAAAATGAACAAAAGCTAAGGGGGTTGGGCATTCCTAGAATTCTGAATTGGAGACCTGTATGTAACCCAGTTGCCTGCAGGGTCAACTTCCCTAAAACCAGAACGGCTAGATTCCTTGGTAGAAATGCCCGCCCACTTCCAGCCGCTCTGTGTGTACTTCCCCTTCCCAGCTTTGTCAGCTTCACTTCAGAGCCCTGACATCCAGTTCTAGCTAACTGATGCCAAAGTTCCCACAGCACAGGGGCATACCAGACGTCTGGGGGGTGGGCGGAGGATCTTCGCAAGGCAAGAACACGTCTGCTCCATCCTGATCCCCAAGGTCAATAAATTCCACTTGCTCCAGTGTGTCCACGTTCACTTCCATGGATGAGATACTACCTATGGGGGCTGCATATCAAGAGGGGGGGCATGTCAGGAGGACCCAGGCTGCAGCCAGCAGGATGGTCAGAGATATGTGTCATGTCCAGAGACAGAAGTTCAGAGGGCCAAGAAAACACGAGGAGAGGGGACTCCTAAGATTCAGGACCTATAAGCCTTCCTCCCTACCCCACCAGAGTCCCTCTCCCTAGGACTTAGCTTACGTCTCTGCGACTCAAGATGCAGATGGGAGAGCGGGAAGACAAACTCTGTCTCTGGCTGCAAAATGTCCTCAAAGAATTTCTGACGCTCCCGAAGGCGGAGCTGCTGGCGCTCCAGGGCTGCCCGAGGATTTGGGTCCATGTCAGCTCCTGGAGGATGGAAGAACAAGTACAGCTATGAAGTTACGGGGTGATACAGTGGGGTCTGGGGCTTGAGGAGCCCCAATGCAACCAGCATCCCAGCGGTGGGGCCTCTGGTTGCAACCTGGACATTTTTGCACTTGGCTACCTCCTTCCCTTCCTTGCAAGAAAGCCCATTACCACAAACTTCAAGGCTCGTGCAGACGCAGGGCTGACCCTAGCTAGCTTCATAAAGGGGATGCCAGTTCCAGGCACAGCAAAAGAGGCTCCTCTGTATTCAGGGAATGTAGCCAGTGGCAGAGTCTCAGTATCATGACCTGAGAAGAGTCGGAGGGATTGGTCCAGCCCAAATGGGGGAGGCACATTTTCCACGTAATGGATCCAGCCTTCCCTCAGAAGGCCAGGGTAGAGGCTAGGATAGAGCTCTCAGGGTGGAAGGTCTCTTCCCCTGGCGCTGCAACTCCTGCCTATCCTGTTAGAGGGCCGCCTCCCCCCCACACACACACACCATCACCCTCCCCTTCCCCAACCCTGCTCTTACATCACAGACCTGACTTCCAGACTTGGCTCTGTCCGGAAGGGAATATCTTTCTAGCCTCAGTCTCCCCAACTGAAAATAGCACAATCATCCTACCTGCGCAAACAGAAGACCCTGCCTGTGAAGTTGCTCTGTGAAATGTAAAGCTCTGACACGCGCTATGCAGAGGACGCCCATCCCCTCTCTGCACTCCCACGGCTCTGTATTTGAGCTCCTCCCCGACACATTTCCCTGTCTCATCTCCCAGAGAAGTCGGTCAGTGAGAAGTAACTGGAAGGGCGGGTCCTGGGTTCTATTCAGATCAAGCCTCCTGGCCCACAGTGCTGAGAGCTTTCCAGAACACCAGCTCGGGGCAAGCCCAGGCCCTTTGGATTCACTCGCGTTCGCTCAGTCTCCGTCGAGCAGCTGGCTCTGAGCCCACCAGAGGCAAGAGAGATCTAGCTTGCGCACCAGATGGGCATCTCCGCACACTGCCGTCCCCGCCTCAACGGGACTCAGCCTATGCGAGACCCTGACCATCTCCACAGGCGCCGGGGCAGGCCACGAGGGACCCAAACTCAAGTGTGCCAGGTCGGGCCGAAGAAGTGTAGGGACACCTGGTGGCTGCGCGCTGACAGCGGAGGAGGGAGGCGCTGACGCCGATTCCTGGGAAAGGCTCTTCGAGCTGCAGCCCAGGTCACCACGCTAAAAATACCCGGGGCCCCTTGGGCCGTTTGCTCCTGCAGCGGGGTGGGGGGAGGGGAGAGGGCCCGACGCTGACTAGGGACTCCGGGACGCCCCCCTCTCTTCTCCTCCCCCTAACCCCATCAATCCCCGACATGGAAGGGGCTGTCCCAAGGGGCCACCGAGCTGCGTGCTGGAGAGAGGAAGGGAGTTGTTTACGCGACTAGGGGTGCTGCCGAGAGGGGTGAAGAGATCCGAAGAGATCTGGGGGCAGGAGACTGCCAGGGACCGCGCGGGGCCAGTGAAATGGAGAGCGCCCAGTGGGTCTCCGCCCCGCCCTCCCTGGAGTCAGCCGGAGAGAAAGAATTCCCTAAAAAGGGCCCCGCCGCACCCGCGGGAAGGGAGGACGGCGCAGCGCCCGGCAGCCCCACGCGTGCTCGCGTCCCCGCCCGACCCTGCCGCCGCCTCTGCGCCCGCCGCCGCGGAACCCCTACCTGCAGCGCCCGGGGCCCCCGCGGACTCAGCCCGTGCTCCCCGGCGAGACGGCGGCGGGGGCGTGGGAGCGATGCGCGCCGGCCAGGGTGGGGCCGCGCCGCCGGGTGTCCCCCGGGACGCACAGGCCCTGGGAGCCGGGAACGAGGAAGAGGCAGCAGGCGGAAGTGGGGGAGGGGCGGCGGGCACCCGCGCTCGCCGCTGTCCCAGCGGCCGGGGGCAGCCCCTGCGCGCGCGACCGCTCGGACTTCCAGGGCGGGCGGAAAGTTCCCGGCCCGCATCCTTCCTCCCCGCGACGAGCGGGGCTCCGGCAGCCGCAGCCGCGCGCTGGGGCCTGCGCGCTCGGATACACTTGCCGCGCCCCGCCCGCCGGCGCAGCCCGGCCGCGGGGACCCGCTCGCGAGCCCGGCCCACGCGCTCTTGCTGCTCCC